GCTGGTAACTTTTTAAAAATTTTTAAAAATTATTTATCTATTTATTCACTTTACATCCTAGTCGTAGCCCACTCCCTCTTTTCCTCCTGGTTCCACCCTCCCTCCCTGTTCCCCCATCCCCCCATCCCCTACTCCTTGGAGAAGGGGAGCTCTCCCTACCCACCCACCCCAGTTCATCAGGTCACATCAGGACTGAGTGCATCCTCTTCCCCTGTGGCTTGGTGAGGCAGCCCCACCAGGGAAAAGTGATCAAAAGGCAAGCAACAGAGTCCATGTCAGAGTGGGCCCCTACTCCCCTTATTAGAGAACCCATATGAAGACCAAGCTGCCAATCGGCTACATCTGTGTAGGGAGCCTAGGTCTAGTCCATGCATGGTCCTTGGATGGTGCTTCAGTCTTCACAGGCCCCAGCCCCCAAGCCCTGGTTTGGTGTCTCTGTTGGTCTTTTTGTGGAGCGCTGAGCTTGTCCCCTCTGAGTCCTTCTATCCTTCCTCCTACTCTTTCACAAGACTCCCTGCACTCCACCTAAATTTTGGCTGTGAGGCTCTGCATCTGTTTCTATCAGCTGCTGGGTAGAGCTGCGCAGAGGACAGCTATGCTAGAATCCAGTCTGCAAGCATAACAGAGTATCCTTAATAGTGTCAGGGATTGGCTGTCTCTGATGGGGTGGGTCTCTGGTTGGGCCAGGCACTGATTGGACATTTCCTTAAATCCCTGCTTTATTTTTGTCCCTGCACATCTTGTAGTCAGGGAAAATTTTGGATCGAAGTTTTTGTTGGTGGGTTAGTGTTTTCCTCCCTCCACTAGGAGTCATGTCTAGTTAGAGGGTGGACTCTTCAGTCTCCATGACCCGTGCTACTGGGACCCTCAGCTAGAGTCACCCTCAAATCCCCCCAGGAGCCTCCCCTGTTGTAAGTCTCCAGCTTGTTACAGATGCCCCCACACAAGGTCTCTCTTCTCTCTACCACCCTCTGTCCTCCCACCTTGCTCTCTCCAGGTCTGATATCAACCCTCATTACTCTCTGTGTTCTCTCTTTTACCCTGTTCCCTCTCTTCAAGCAAGGAAATCATGAAATTTGCAGGCAAATGGATGGAGCTAGAAAAGATCATCCTGAGTGAGGTAACCCAGACCCAGAAAGACACACAATGTATGTACTCACTTATAAGTGGATTTTAGCTGTATAACACAGGACAAACATATTATAATTCACAGACCCAAAGAAGATAAGTAACAAGGACCCAAGGGAGGATGCTTAAATCTCACTCAGAAAGGGAAATAGAATAGACATCTGGTAACTTTTTTATTCTTTTCACTTACATTTCCCCCCTGGGGCTAGAGAGATGGCTCAGAGGTTAAGAGCACTGGTTGGTCTTAACAGGACCTGAGCTCAATTCCCAGCACCTATATTGTTTTAATTGTTCTCTTGAAGAGACACTACCATGAGCATGACAACTCTTATAAAAATAATTTAATTAGGGCTTGCTTACACTTTCTGAGGTTTAGCCCATTGTCACCATGATGAGGGACATGAGAACACACAGGTAGACATGACACAGAAGCAGCAGCTGAGGGGTCTACACTCAGAGTCACAGGTAGCAAGAAGAGAGAGCCTCTGGGCCCTGCTTTTGAAACTGCAAAGCCCACCTCAGTGACTCATTTTCTCCAGTAATGCCACACCCCAACCCCTCTCAAGTAGTGCCACTCCCTGATGACTAAGCATTCATGTATATGAGCCTAAGGGTACCATTTTTTTTAAATTTTGGTAATTATTCTCTTAAACAATGCATCCTGACTGCAGTTTCCCCTCCTCCCAGTGTTCCCCACCTCCTCTCTTCCCCTGACCCCTTCCTTCTCCATTTCCCTTCAGAAAAAAGCAGGCCTCCCAGGGATGTCAAACAAATACGGAACCACAAGTTACAATAAGATTAAGCACAAACCCTAATATCAAGGTTGAATGAGTCAACCCAGTAGGAGGAATAGGATCCTAAGAGCAAGCAAAAGAGTCAGAGATGTCCCCACTCATTGTTATGAGTCCCACAAAGGGGGGGGCATTCTTATTCAACCTCCACACATATGGTGGCTCATAATTGTCTGTAACTCCAGTCCCCTGGGATCTGACAGCCTCTTCTGGCGTTAGGCATGGAGTTGGTTCACGGACATACCTACAAAAAAAAAATACCCATATACACAAAACAAAAAGAGATACACCCCATTACAAAGTTAAGATAGCATGGACGTTGCCTATTGCTTGATCTTCTTAGGATTCCTGGATACATCTGAATGGTAGTTGATGCACTGCTTTCATAGTAAATGGATTACAAACAGCTCAAGCCAATCCCTATTCTTAATATCCTGTCTTTCTGTAGCTTTGACTGTAGTTTCAGTGTAACAGTTGACAGAACCCTGGTTCTTCTAAACTGGAGTTGTTCCTTGCTTTCCCATATCCTGCTCATGTTTGACTTGCTCAAGTCAAACCAAAACTCCAAAGCAGTCCGCCACCACTCCCACTTCATGCAGTAGTGGTGACTGAGCCCAGGGTTTCCTATTCGCTGAGCAAGCATCCTGCCAACTGAGCCACATCTCCAGTCCCTATTCCCTCCATGCAGTGACCTTGTCACCCCACAGCTGCACAAGCGAGGCTGCCCAGGCTCTGCTCTGTCTCAGACTGGCAGGGAGGTGCCTACTGGGGACCACCTGCACAGCTGTGTCAATCCTCAGGCCCCGGGCATTGCAGGATGCAGCATGTAGAGTCTCCCTACATTCCATAGGACAATTCTGAACCAAACACACTAGGTAAACTCACTATTCACTGTCTCATGGAGCTCCATGTGCCTCTGAGCTCCTTGCCAGATGAGGCAGGTCATGGGCCAGTGAGGAAAGGCTTTGTGCTCTGGCACTGGTGCTTCGCTGACGTCAGAGGCCAGCATAGCCTACAGGGCAGACGTCTGGGACACACTGTGGAGCCAGGAGTGTTGAACAGCTTCTCATCCCCAGGCTGCTTGTAGCGCAGCTGAAGAGATGAAGCACAAATCTCAGAAGCAGCAGGTTCTCTTTCTGATGGAGACAGTTATACCCAGAATTCTCATTGGGAAAGATTCAACCCCACCCCCTTCTACCCCTCAAGTGGTTGCTGCAGACTTCGATCATCTACAGGATTTTGAAAAGTAGACATCAAAAAATTTAAAAATTGGACCAGTGTGGGTAATAAAAAATCAAAACATAGCTGTGTTCTGACAAGCACTGGGCAGTCTGGCTCACGCGTGGGCTGCATGACTCAGTGCTAATCAAAAGTTCCATCTCAGGATGAAATTATTACTACAGAGATAGCTGGGAAATGAAGACTGGGCAGAGAAAGCACCTTGGAATTGCATGTGTGAAGGAAGCCCTTCTCAGCAAAGACTTACTCCTACACAGTGTGTAGTACTTACTGGCAATAAAGGCAGGTTCAGATAGATAACCCCGCCCTTCCTCAACAAGCAAAATGGCTAGCAGCTGGTAGAAATGGGTAAAAATCATTTTTCTTTGATCTTGTTCCCTCCAGGACTAGAGAAATGCAATTTAAACTCCCACGAGGGCAGGAGGGTTCCCACTTTATGCATTTGAAAAAAAGAAGAACTTTATTTTCTATGTCTGGAGGATTCTGTTTTGTTTTGTTTTGCTTTGGTTTTTTTCTCAACTGCTGCTTAAAAAATATAGACCAGTTAATTACTGTGTCTGGACTCTAGGCCTGACATTGAAGATGGTGATGGCCCACGCAGAAAGGGCCCAGAGGACTGCTCCCAGCTCTCTTCTGGTCTTCGGGTGGTCACTTGTAACTGTGGAAGTCTAGAAAGGTAGTGTGATCTGTCCAGCCCTGAGCATCCTTCTTAGAAAGTGGATTTAAACACAGCTCCTTCACGGGTCACTCCTGAACTGGCAACTGTAAGCAAGGGTGCAGTAAAACCACCTGACAGGAACACTCCCTGGGTAGAAAGACAAGCTTATTGGGGGGATTCTCAACTTCCATGGCTGTCTCTCAGGGGCAGAGAAAACAGGAAACTGGCAGAAAAACCTCACCAGTTTTTGAAGAGAAAGGTTGCAATGCAAGAGCCTGTAAGCTGGAACAGCCTGAAAGATAGACTAGTGAGGACAGGTTTGCTGGTCAGAAGAGCCTGAGAAACGTGAGGAGTGGGGCTACTAGTGTGGGGATCTGATGTGCATTACAGTGTTGATGGAGAACTGGTACCCAATTTCTGGAGGTAGCCCGCTGTAGGAGCAGGTGACAGCCTCGCCCGGGAGAGAGAGGAGTGAAAAGGCTTTCTTTGATCCTGTTTCCTCCAGGGCTAGAAAAGCAATTTAGCTAGAGGCTTCGTATTCTGTGCATTTGAAAAAAAAAAAAAACAAAAAAAAAACCTTTATTTTCTATATCTGAAAGCTACTGATTTTTTTTGTTGTTGTTCATAAGTACTGCTAGAAAAATATAGACTAGATAATTACTGTGTCCAGGTTCAGGTCCTGATGGCTGTCTGACAAACAGAAACTCACTTCCCGAGTTCCTGAGGAATGCTTATTTTAGGCTTTTGTTTATTCCCTAGCCATCCATCTGTTTACCTGGTCAGAGTCCAGCTTGCACTGAGCCCAGGCTGTCATTTTGGGGGTTGGGCACCACGTCAGAACTAACAGGAAGACGATGCTGTGGCCAAGCCCGATGACCCAAGCGAAATCCCCAGGACCCACACGGAAGGAGAGAACGGACTCCTGCAAGCTGTCCTCTGGCCTCTGCATATATACCATGACATGAGTACATACATAAATGTAAAACACAAAACCAAAGGGAAGTGCGCTGGTTTGAATAGTCACGGCCCCCATGGACTCTCGCGTTTGAACGCTTGGCCCATAGGGAGTGGCACTATTAGAAGGCCTGTCCTTGCTGGAGGAAGTGTGTCACTGTGGAGGTGGGGCTAGGAAGTTATAATAGCTAAGCTCAGTCACACAGTCTCATGCTGCCTGTGGCTCAAGATGCAGAACTCTCAGCTCCTCCTCCAGCACCGCATCTGCCCGCATGCCACCATGCTGCCCACTATGACGACAATGCACTGAACCACTGAAACTGTAAGCCAGCCCCAATTGAATGATTTCCTTATTAAGTGTTGCCTTGGTTATGGTCTCTTCACTACATTGGAAATGCTAATAAGGACAGGAAGTAAAGCACATTTGGGCAAACCTGCATGTTCCAAGTGGGTTGGCTTTTGGCATGCCACCTAGACTCTGCGGGACTGTTGTCTAGAGCGTCCTTCCTAGCGTGACTTTCCCTAGGGCATGCTTCAGGGAGTGTTGCCTGATGGACAGCAGAGAGCAGTGGGGAATGGTGCCCTGTGTAGCCTGCACACATCCCGGGAATCACTCAAACACGAGTCTAGGTGATGGGGTGAAGGAACTTTGGGAAATTCACTTATCACTTCCCTAAAAAATGGCCCAAAGTGCCATGGTCCTGAGTGGGCCTGCCTTGATCAGTGGAAAGTTTATAAATTAACAGAAAGCTTGGATTTCTCCAATTAAAGAACCGTGAAGTGTTCAGCTGACCTTTCCTTCTGTAGTCTCCTACCATGTTTGTCTGTGGCCATAATTGCTGCTTGGGTTAAGTGAGTTTAATTCCTGTAGCAATTGTGTTGGCACAGCACAGTCCTTCCCATTTCTCTCGTATGTGCCCACAAATACTCAAGTAGCATACATTGCCTCTTCATTGTGAGCTGGCGTGCACCCACCCCTCTGTTTCCTGAACTGTGAACCAGAAGAAGACTTTTCTCTTAAGTTGCTCTTATGGGATTTTTTTTTTTAACCACAGTGGTAGGACTTGCTTTATGTGACTGGCAGGTCCACAGCAAGTTCCCACGTCCTTTGTCCGGTAGGAAAAGCAGAGATGACTCTCATTTGCAGACTGGGGACTCTTGAAGCCTGGGAACACAAACAGTCACCGGCACAAAAACTCCAAGAAGAACTTGTTTGTATTCAAAATATAAGACGCAGGGAATCCTGGTGGTATGGACTGATTTTCCTGAATGGAGGGATGACCTGGAAGAGGGGGCTGGCACTTTTACTAACCCAGTAAAAAGAAAGCCATAGACCAGTGCACTTGACATTGTCTGCCTGATGGAATCTGGACTCACAGCAGGGAAGGGCTTAGTTTGGCTTTAACTGAGGTGGGAAGACAAATTCTAATGGGCTGCAGCATCATCCATGGGCCAGAACCCTGGGCTGGCTAATAAAGAGAACACCAGCTGAGCACCGGCATCCATTGTGCTCTGCCTCCTGCTACATACGGATGGTGAGAAGCCACCTGGCACTCTGCCACCATGCCTCCCTGGCCATAGTAAATTGTGCAAGGCCTCAGATGAGGACTCAGGAGTTCACAAAAATGAACTGTAGGGGGAGCAGTAAGAAGTTTAACAGAGGAGTTAGTAACACCACAGACAGACAGACAGACAGACAATAGCAGAGGCTTTGAGGAGAGTAAAAGCCCGGCATCAGAGACTGACACCACAGAGAGAGGTCTGAAGAGAGGAATGAGGGCCTCCACAGCAGAGCCAGGCTCCCTTCTTATCTTTGATTCTGAGACAGGATTCAGGGAGGTATAGGGAGCAAGCAGTGAGGCCAGAAACACCTTCTCGGATGTAAACTCACATTCCCAGGTTAAAAATCATGGTTGCTGGAAATCTGTTGGCAGGAGAATCATAGGCACTGCCTCAGCAGGGGCCTGGAGATACCTGTGAGAGGGAAGGCCGGCACTAATGACTTTGCAGCAGCAGGGCTGGACTATAGTGTCAAACACACCATGACCAAGGCAACTCTTATCAAAGAAAGCATTTAACTGGGGGTTCACTTACAGTTTCCGAGGCTTAGTCCCTTATTATCAGGGTGGGAACACGGTGGCATGTAAGCAGGCCCTGGAACAGTAGCTGAAGCTACATCCTGATCTATGGGCAGAAAGAGAAGAGAGAGCCTGGGCCTGGCACGGGCTTTTGAAAAGTTAAAACCCACCCCCAGTGACATACTTCCTCCAACAAGGCCACACCTCCTAATCCTTCTAATCCTCTCCAATAGTGCCACTCCCTGGCGTGCTAACATTTGATCCCATGGGGACCATTCTGACTCAAATCACAGTAGCTAGTAAAAGTCATAAAGTGGTCCAAGAAAATTTTGGTTTTCACACCCCATGTCTTCCCAGTCAGCCAAGAATCATCTTCATTTCAGACTTGGCTTCTCTAGAGGGCTGTAGCCACAACCATCAGCACATTCAAGAGAAATTCAGGAAGGATGGGAAAAAAACTGTTCCTGAACCAATTCCCAGGTCCTCGGGGCTTTGAGACATGTTGGTGGCTCTTCCTACTGGCTTTGCACCATCTTGTCTTGCCAACCCAGGCTTTCATCCCTCCTGTCCTTTTGCTGTCTCAAGGATTTCTGAAGCAATCTCCTTGGCTGTGCCTCTTCCTCGAGGGTTTTATTTTGATTAAATACTCATAATTAAAACCAAATTTGATGAACCAGAACCACAGCATTTAGTTGGCTTTTTCTCAATTGCTTTGCTTGCTTAATTTAACAAAAATCAGAGAATGGAAAAGAGAATGATTTCCAATTCATTAAAGGAAGGCTGAAAAATATACTCATTTTCTGGGTACAAGAAGCAAGTGCTTTACTCTTAATTTTCTTTGTGTGGTTACCTTTGAAGTTGTTTTAAAATAACTTTAATGTGTAGAATAATCAGTTTAGAATGTGAGAGAATGGGTGTGGGTATTTTAAATAAAGAACTATTTTTTTCAATGTTGCTGTGCTCTATAGTATAATATTTTATGGGTTTTTTTACAAGTAAAAATAGTGATAATTTCAAAATTCCTAATTTTTACACTTATTTCTTAAACTGTGTATGTGCAACATTAAAAAGTAGAATTCTGTAAGTTTATAGATTAAAAGCCTCTAATTTTTAAGGAACGAAGTAAGATCTAGAATGTTATCCAAGAATCAAAATTTATTTTTTACTTGTCAAAGATAGATTACATTGAAAAAAATCTAATTTTTCTAGCACAGACAGTGAAGGGGTGGGGGAGAAGGAGGAAAGAAACACAGAGAAATAAGAAATGAAGAGGAGTAGTTGTCAATCAACTAACAATTTCCTTGTCCAGTTATGCCAATGTTATTGAAGGGAGAACAAAGAAATGGTGTGAATAGCTCCACATTCACAAAATTAGTGACTTGAATAGCTATTTCTAATGAAAGCAAGTCAGCTCATAAAATGAGCAACACTGTGTGAATGGTCCTTGTTTATTAAGGGAATCGAGCTAGCTCTTATGGGTTTGCACATGGCACATGTATGGAAGAGCACCGTCAACCTTGGGGGTCGGTCCCCCCTTTCTCCTGGTTGGGCACACCCATCTCATTTGTTTCTATGGTACAAAGGCTGGGTGGCTCAGCAGCTTTCAGGGAGACTCTCCTTTCTAACTCAGTGCGGGGTCGCTGCGATTCTAGTCAGTTATACCTTGTGTCTGGCTTCGTCTGGGTCTGGAGAATCTCAACCTGGAGATTCCAGCTTGCATGAAAAGTGATTCAGCCACTGAGCCAACTCTTCAGACCCTGTCGGGACAGTAATTTTCGATATTTAAAAAGGAAAAGAAAACTCTCAGCCCAGACAGGTGCACTGCTGAGGCCTTCCATACAGTTAAGGAGTAAGCAACACTAATTCTCTATAATCTCTTTCAGGAAACAGAAGCTCGAGTCATGCTTGCTGATTCATTCAATTAGTTTACCATTACCCTGATATCAAACTCAGATAAATATGCAACATTAAAGGAAAACTGACACATGGAATGAACGTAGACACAAACATCCCCTATAAAGTATTAGCAAATCAAATCCAACCTCTAGGCTATTCATCACGTTGTAGGTGGATTAACTGAAGGTGGCTAAGTTTCTTTCATCAGTGTGTCACCCAGTTGTTCTCACCCTGGGAGGCTCTTACCCCTTTGGGGCTTGTGAACCAGATGTCCTGCAGATCAGGTATTCAGCCATCGTATACTATGATCCACAGCAGTAGCAAAATTACAGTTATGAAGTAGCAGCGGAATAATTGTAGGGTAGGAGGTCACCACAACAATATGAGGGACTGTGTTCAAGGGTCTCAGCGTTAGGAAGGTGAGAGCCACTGATAAAAGCAATTCTTTTGGTCTGGACAGATGGCTCAGGAGCAAGGAGCATGTGTGTCCCTTTCAGAAGACAGGGACATGTTTCCCAGCATCCATTAGATGACTCACAACTGGCTCAAAGACCAGCTCTAGGGGATCTGATTCCCTCTTCTGGATCCCATGGGCAGTACATGTGTGCACGCACCCACACACTCACACACACACCCACCCACCCACCCCCACACACACCCCCACACACAAATACAAAGACAATAAGGGACTGAGGAGATGGCTCAGAAGCTAAAAGCCTTTGCAATAGACCTGTCTTCAGTTCCCAGCACCCTGTGGTGACTCATACCCATTTGTAAATCTGATTACAGTGGCTCAGAAGACTTGGTCTCAGAGGCCATCAAGCATGGTTGTGCCATATACATAATGTAGGCATACACACACACACACACACACACACACACACACATACACACACACACACTCAAATAAAAATCAATAAATCTTTGAAAAATAAAGTAAAACAAAACAATTCCAAAATTAATCATTTCATCTACTGTATCAATGGACCCAGAAAAGTTCTTTGTAATAACTGGTGCAGAAAAGAATTTTGACAAAACTAAACATGGCTCCATGGCAAAAATCTCTCAATCAGCTGGGATGAGCCATTAATAACGCTCACAAATATCTTAAAGACAACATCATAGTTAATGAGAAACTAGGTGCTTTCTCCCAAAGACTTTTGGCAGACAAGCATCCTTTTTCCCCACTCATACTCCGTCTCCCATTAGAAGACTAAGTAGCAAGGCAGCATGAGGCATGGAAAGTAGACGAATTCTCCACAGACGGCAAACTCGTGTGTTGGCCATTGCAAGGATTTAGCAGAAAGATTTGTGGAGCTGATAAGTGATTGTTCATCTACACCAACAATGAAGACCTGAAACTAACGTTTATAAGAATGTATTGTTGACTGTGTTATTACATGCCAAAATTTAAATACTTTTGGCAAGATAGGTAAGGAGCTGTATATAGCAAATAGAAAGTTTTTGTGGCTCAAGTGAAAATAAGTCTAAAGCAACAGAAAGATAATGAATAAATAATTAGGTGGATTAAGTGAGATGTTTAGGTCATAAGGGCCAAGTCTTTGTGAATGGATCAATGATGGTGTGGGAAAGACAAGATTCTCTCTCCTGACAAACACGCTGATTATTTTCTCCAGATGATGGAACAATGATGCCATCTTCAAACGTGATGTTAAACCCTTGATGCTATGCCTTGGTGTTGGGCCGTCCAGTTTCCAGGAAACAAACTTCTGCTCCTCAAAATCACCCTGTCTCAGGTGTGCTGTCACAGTAGCACAACGGGACAGAGAAAGCACTCTGAGCCAGCGCTGGGCTCAGCTCCCCACCCCCTCACACACTCCACACTGAGCAGCACCGGTGCCGAGTGTCCAGTCTTTCTTCTATGTGATGTGGGAGGTGGAGCAACAGCATGAGCAGAGACCAAAGGCCAACAGTGGTAAACCACAGTCAGAACTACAGCCACGTGGTCAAGCAACTGTCATCATGTCCTCAGGACTTTTTTTTTTTTTTTTTAATGGAAATGATCAGTACACTGAATTAGAGAACTTTTGAAGAATCAGAACAGGGATCATGGCCATGAAACATAACACTTACACATTTGAGATAACTTGACAGATAAATGGATTTTAACTCTTACCTCAGCTACAGTCGTGAGGTTATTTGAATAATTTTGCATTTCATAATTGTTAATAAATGAATTTAAAATGGTGCTCTGGGGCCATTACAATGGCTTACTGGCTGAGGGCACTTGTCTTGACTCCTGATGACCGGAGGCTTCCATCCCTGGAACCACTTGTCTGGAATCACTTGTCTGAAGGATTGAACTGTGTCCTGCAAGCTGTCCTCTAATCTCCACACATATGTCATGGCGTGTGTGTGCACATGCATAAAGTCATGTGCACACAGAAACACAAAAAATGCACACAGGTGAAAATAAGAACTGTGTTATGAAAGTGAGTTTCTGCAAGCGACTTCTGTGTAATTATTAATGTTGGCATGACAGCATAATATTGATTATATAATATTTATGATAGTAAATAGAATTATAACATTGGGACCAGTTCCCCTGGATAGATGCCAGGGTCGTTTGTTCTTACACACCATTTCATATAGGTCATACAACACCAAAGGGAAGTGCTACGCACTGGTTGAGGAATTCCCCCAGAATGAGGATTTGTTTGTAGACAGTTTTTCACAGGTGGTCATGGAAGCATTTGTGCAGAAGGAAAGGGGAAAAGCTCAGCCCTAGATGCACTGATGTCCTGAGGAACTGGTCTCAAATCCTGGGCCTTTTTTTTTTTCTTTCAATTTTTTTTAACTTTTATTAGTTACACTTTAATCCCCATAAATCCCTTCCTCCTCCCCTCCTAGTCCCACCTTTCCTCCCCCTTCTTCACACACGCCCCTCCCCAAGTTCGATGATAGGGGAGGTCCCCCTCTCCTTTCTTAAAGACCATTCGAAGAAGGAGGTTAACATGCATCTGTCTGCTGAGACTCAGTTCCTGTGATCGGAAGGTGTTTCCAGGCAGTTATGCCCTCCCAAGGAAAAGGTGTGTCCTGAGAACCTAAGCCACACTTTCCTTGGTAACCTCTGCTGAGGTGAACAACTTTGGTTAATCCAATTTTAATTGGGAATACCAACGATCAATCACATAGTATACCATAACTCTGTCATTTCCCTCTCACATTCATTTTTGCTTGCTGGCATACTTGGTATGTATCCATAGGTTACACGGTCACTCTAAAGGCTCGAGGGGTCACAGCACACTCTAGCTTCAGAAGAAGGATAGCAGAAATGTAAACAGAGCCTGCAGTGATGCCATAAGAACAGAAGTCAATCTTCAGGGCATCTGGAAAAGCAGGCTGTCTCTGAGATCAGAGCTACAAACTTGAGTCTAGCTGTAGAGGTAAGAGGAAAAAAGGTCCGGATGAAGGACCAGGCAAATAGAGGGACAGAAAGTTCTATAAGAGAAATACAGCCAGATAGAAGTTGATTAGGCCATGTCAAAGGCAGAGACTAAGCCCTAGGGACAGTCAAGAGTTCTCTGTAATTTTGCTACTGGGAGGTTTTTTTTTTTTTTTCCTTTTTTCCTGGATTGCTGGTTTTGATTTATGTCTCTGAATTGACAAGGTGGAGATCCACTGATTCCTGGGCCTCAGTCCAGCCATCTAGTCTAGCCAAATAACTGAGGCCTTGATACAGATGAGAGACCCTGTCTCAAGAAACAAAGTGAGTGTGTCTGAGGAACAAGGACCATGTCTGGGTCTGTGGCCCTACCAAAGCCAGGGTCTGTGCTGCTGTCTGTTTCCCATTTGCCATAAAAGGCCATCCAGACGTCCCTGGTCTGGGCTGTCTCCTGAGGCCATGTTGATGTTTGAGCTGACTCGCCCCTTTGTCTGCCACCACACTCAGCAGAGCTGGGAAATCTAGCCCTGCCTCTAAGCTTCAACCAGGAGAGCTGGCCCTTCCCCCTACCTGGGCAGCATGGAAGAGCTGTATTTGATGGTGTGAGGATGGGAGAGATGACCCTACTCCTCAGCTGTGGCATTCAGGAGAGCTGTCCCTATCCTTCATTCCTCATCAGCCTGTGGTGGTATGGTGTGGGAGAGAGTCCCTCCCACACCTGTGGCAGTCAGGTGAGCTGGCCTGGAGGGCATGAGAGCAGGAGAGCTGGCCCTGTCCTTCGCCTGTTGCAGCAATTGGGAGAGCACTCCAAGCAGTGCGGTAGAGCTGGCCCTGATGACATGGGTGCAAGAGTGAAGGCCCTGAGGGTGTGAGTGTGAGGTGGCCCTACTGGCCCAGACACAGGAGAGCTGGCAGGATGAGCAACTCAGCTTCTACTCAGGGGTCTGAGTTGTCCCACCCCAACATCTACCCCATCTATGAACTTTTGGAATGTGTGAAGGGGCAAGTCCTGGAGATCCAAAGCTGCAGGATCTCCATGACACGGGACAATAACAGATTACCCAAGTGTAGTCCTGGTGAGGACCCAGTATTGATAATGTAGCAGGCCTTGAACCAGACCAATGACTCATTGCAATGAACATTTGCAAGTTAAGCTGTTTGGGCAGAAGAGTATATTCTGTGACACACCTTGAAACACCATAGCTTCCATGATGAGATTTTTATTTGTTTTATTTTTTTTTATTTTATTCTTAATTTTTTTTTCTTTTGGGGGTAGGTTGCAAGGGTGGAGGGCAGATACGAAAGGATGGTTGATGAGTGGGATTGGGGTGCATGATGTGAAATTCACAAAGAATCAATAAAAAGTTTTGGCTTAGAGTCAGAATCCCTTTCTCTTTGCCTCTGACTAGAATCAAAGATCCATGCTTTCTGCAACATCTAACATAAACATAGACCTGCACACACTCCACCTGTTCCAGAAGGAAGTGCAAAGTGTACGTGGCCCACAAAACCCAGGGAAGCCACAGCAAACACACACAGCACCATGCACCCCAGCACCTTGGGTCCTGTTTCCAAGGATGCTTTGATGCGGTGCTGTGGCCTGTCCTTTCCCAGGAGTGGGGAAGCCTGCTAAGCCTGGAACGAGTGAGGCACAGGATCCACTCTCTGTTAGAAGAATCCTCATGCCATTGCTGAGCAACTGCAAGGTGTCCTAACCCTAACCCTAACCCTAACCCTAACCTTAACCCTAACCCTAACCCTAACTCTAATCCTAACCAACCTCCTTATGTAGGCATTTCGAGTCAGAGCTCTTTTATTTCAGCATGGAAAAGCACAGCTCTGTTGATGGGAGACTCAGAGTCCTGTGTCCATTTTATCTGAGCCAGACACAGGGAGGCAAGCTGCCCTGTCCCAGCCCTGTGTTTCCACAAACACTGAGAGAACTGAGCGAATAGAGCACTGGTTGGAGACACACTCATTTGAAGCACAGCCTTGCTTAGGACGGAAGCACAGGTGGCTTCCAGGCTAAGCAGAGGCGCTTTGAAACAATGATGTCATAAACCGAACACAGCTGTGCTTGTGGGGCCACATCTCTCGTAACTGGGAAAGCACAATTTTGACTAAACATCCACTCCAAGTTAACCCAGGGTTGTCAGTGGAGTCCCCAAGCTGGCTCTGTCCTGACAATGGCGACACCCAACACAGTGTCACAGTGTCCTCTAGGGTCGTGCTGTCACCTCCATAGGCTCTGTGCTGTGCTCCACCTGTAACTTCCTGTCTTTCTAAACCCTTCACCCTACATTAACTACCAATGGCAATTTTTCCATCAGTATCTCCATAAGAAGGTCTTAGCACATCCCTCAAAAGAAAAGACCTGATGCTAAGACACATATTATTTTTCTTGTGTGTGAGTGTGCCTGTGTTCTGTGAATAAATGGTTTTCCTTTCCTTTGTATTATTCAGTTTCATCTCTTGTGGTTTGAATAAGTATCCCACATAGGTGCATAGATTTGAACGCTTGGTCATCAGTGAGTTAACTTGGAGTGGGTATTTAGCACTTGGAAGGTAGAGGCAGATAGATTTCTGAGTTAAAGTCCAGCCTGATATACAGACTGAGTTCCAAGACAGCCAAGCTTAGACATTGAAGGAAACTGTAATAAGAAGAAAGCTGATGCAGATATGATTGAATGAAGACGCCACCAACCAGCTACACCAACCAGCAGAAATTGGTAGCTTTGGCCATGTGCTTCTGGATTTAGAGTCAAGGATAGAAGAAAGGGGTTACAGAAACTCCCTCTGTGACTACAGAAAGTTGCTGAAACCAGATGTGTGTCAGGGGTGTCCATGCCTGGAGGCCCTGACAGGCCTTTGCATACAGCTGTTAAGGTGAAGCCTGGATTGCCCTGGAAACACCAAGATGTTGGAGATGACAGATCTGTGGAATATGTGCTGAAGAAAGCTGTACAGTGGGGGTGGAACTAGGGAGAGAGAGAGAGACAGAGACAGAGACAGACACAGAGACACAGAGACAGAGTCAGAAAGACAGAGAACTGTATGTTTCAGTCAACAAAGCTGAAGGGAGTTGGAGGTCTGAAGACGGCTTTGAATCAGACAGGGAGATGCAGAGAATGGAGTTTGTCAGCTGATTTTTGATCTTGCTTTGGTTTGGGATTTTCACAGGATGCTCCCTTTTCTCCCTTTTGAAATGGTGTAACCTTGTATGTTGGAAGTACGTGATCTGCTACTGTGTTTGGATTTTACTGGAGGCTGTAAGCTAAGAAACTGCCATGAGTCTCAGAAGAGACTTTGAACTTTGGACTTTTAAACAGATTTGATACTGTGACAGAGTATGGAGACTTCCGAAGTTGGACTGAATGCATTTTTGCATTCTGAGGTGGCTATAAGCCTATGGGTACAAGGAGTGAAATGTGGTGGCTTCAATGAAAATAGCTCCAACAGGCTCATAGAATTGACTGTTTGACCACCAGGGAGTAGCACTATTAGGAGTTGTGGCCCTGTTGGCATAAGTGTGGTCTTGTTGGAGGAAGTGTGTCATAGGAGTGAGCTTTAGGTTTCAAATGCTCAAGCCAGGCCCAGTGTCTCTCTCTTCCTACTACCTGCTGATCTGGGTGTAGAGACGTCAGCTAGCACAGAAACACTACATCTATCCTCATGCTGCCATGCTTCTCACCATGATGAAAAAGGACTAAACCTCTGAAGCAGAAGCTGG